ATTTCAGAGAAGCTTGCAAGAGCCTCATTTTAATGGTGGGCAGTGTCAACAGCAAAAATGGCGCACCAGACACATCAATGTAGTTTAACTTACAGAAGTCTTAGGAGAGGCATATTCAGCTTCTCGAATGGAAAAAAAAATCTACTCAAAAGATGGGAAAGGGGTACAGGCCGGGGGAAGGGGTGCAAATGGCTAGGAACACCATAAGGCCAGATTAGGGCTGGTCTTAGGAGGCGGGGGTGGCTTTAGTCCTGCCCCTTTCACTGGTTTATTTACTGAACGCTTCCCACTTGCGCAAGCTTTTAAGGAGCTTGAAGCTGTCATGAAACCTAGACGGCAACAGGACAGCCCAGTAATGGTGGGTGACTTGCTTGTAGGTGTCCAGACCCATGGGCTTCATGCGCTGTGGGGCTGTGAGCAGCCACGACTGCTGTGGACTCCCCATAGCCTATCAGCAGCCAAACATTGTGGAGTCGCCAGAGCATTATGATTCTGGATTAATGCGAGAGCCATAAATAAATGTGCAAGAATGAGAACCCAGAACGAGTGAAGGAAGCCAAAATTCAATTCCCTTTGGAAGAAGTACACATAGCGAGATGTGCCCAGCCTCTGTCACTGGCGCAAGCGGCTAAGGGCAAGCCTAACGCAGAAAGAGAGAGGACAGCTCCTTTGTTAGAGTATAAATATTCCATCTGCCTTAAATATGTGCAGTTCACTCTCTCTTAGTCCAACCAATCTCGTCAGGGAAATGAGGCAGGGCTCCCCCACACTTGAGGGATTCAAGACGCAGCTGGACAGCCCTCGGAGAGGGATGGTTTGACTGGGAGTCCTGCACTGGGCAGTGGCTTGGACCAGATGGCCCTCTGGCCTCTTCCAGCCCAACTCTTCTATGATAAAAGATGTGGGTAACCAGGAAGGGACAGTGGGAGCCAGGAAAAGTGAAAGCAGTGAAGGATGTTCAGACCTCTCAACAGACACAAAAGCTGCACCGGTGAGTTTTAAAGTCCGTATTTCCCCGCACGGAGTTTGCTTACTGCTGCTCCCTTATGGAAGTTCTGCCGTTGTGGGGAAAATGAGCTCCCTCAAAGATTACACCTCAGTTAAGAATCATGACCGGGGGGGGGGGGGCTGCACAGTACAAGCAAGTGTGGTGCACAGAACTTCTGGGCTCTCTTGGATGGTGCTTCTGATGCACTGATCACCGTCACGGACATCTCCCTTGTGCTATTTTAGGGCTGCCTCCAGCTCTGCCCACAACAGAGATGCAGCCCCTGGGGAGCTTCTCCACGTGTGCTGGCACTCGGGCTAACACACACACACAACTGACAACCACCCCCAGACCAGTTCCGCCTTCCAGCAGGCTCCAACCTCACCCTGCGTGGGGCTGCCCCACAAAACACACTTTCAATTAGTACCCAAGGAAGCTCTTACTTTTTAGCTTTTTAGGCGAAGGATGGAAGGGCCAGGATTCCAGGTTTTGCACTGGAAAAAAAATACACGCTCACCCCCCCCCCCCGAGTGATTTTGGTTCAAATAACTTGAAAGTGGTTGACCCTTAAGCTTGCTTTTCAATCGGATCGCGCATCATGTGCGATTTGATTCTGGATAAGCAGAAATGGGGAGACGTTCAGAACTGATGGAACGGGCTGCGGATGCTCTTGCCACAACTTGCCGGAGTCAACGCATTCCTTCCGCAACAGCAAGGAAAACATTTCCAGCAGGGCTTAAGCCACTGAATCACAGGAACCCGAAGGAGAGCACTGTGGATGCCACGTTACTGAAGGAGCTCTTAATGCTCGTCGCGGCAACGCGTTCCTGGACGCCGAGCGCCCCACCCATCTGCCTGAGCCTCTGCTCCAGCGAGCCAGAGTGGCAACAAGATCGCAGGCAGACCGACCCTAGCAAAGAACCACCCTTTCCAACAGGCGGGTCACTGTCCCTGCCATGCCCAGGGACTAACGCAAGTGTGTTTGAAAAGACATAAGGCAACACCATGTCCAGCCATGAAGCTTCTGGGGGGACCTTGTGGGCAGGCAGTTATCCTGAGCAACTGGTGTGATGGCGGTGGGGAAGCAGACTACAAATGTACTAAGAAGTCCCACGAGGACCAGAGGCTTGGTTTTAAAAATGAGGGAAATTCAAGCTTGGTTTCATCCAGCTGCACAGAACCACTCCAAGCTCACTTCGGCCTAAGGCCTGGCTCTGTATCTTTCTCTTCATTCTGCCTGCATGGGGGACAAATCAATTTTCTTGTGCACACGTCGTACGTTCAGCAGAGCAGTCTGTTTGTGCCAGCCAGATGGCCTCCAGCAGCTCGGAACAAGGTCCGTGCGCTAGGGTTGCTGTGTGTGTCCCAGTTAACCTGCCCCCGGCCCCACCGCCAGCCACCTGCTTCCCCAGGGTGACTTTTAACTGTCACAAGTGACATGGGGACAAAAACCCTTCTGTGAAAGAGGCCTCCTTTATCAAGCCAGCACCTGTTTTCAGCACGCTGCAGGCCTGCGGAAAGCCTTCTGAAAACTGCGCTGCGCTGCAGGTCATGGTGGGTAAAGAAATTAGTCTGAAAGAGAAAACTGCACAGAAAAGCCAGCCAAGCATTTGGGAAGTCTGAACGGGAGGGCAGCTCAGCTCTGGAACGGCAGCGTGTGGGAGCGCTGAGCTGCACTGCTCCAATGGCGCCTGGCCCCTTATTCGGCCTGGCATTCCAGGGCAGGGCTCAGCTGGCGGCTGGGACATTCCAGAAAGCATTCCGCCAGCATTTCCTCAGGAGGAGGAAGTCCCCAGCCCAGGAGTATCTAAGGCCAGAGGGCTTCATGCCCTCTCCTCAGATGCAGGCTCCACGCAAGCAGTGCATCCAGAGGCAAGCGCCCGTGCCCTTTGCCTCAGAGATCTTCCACAGTGCGTGCACTGTGGAGGGTTTGGTCTTGCCCCATTTGTATCACGGATTTAGCCCACAGGCAGGTAAAAAGACAATAATCGGAAGCAGACAACTGACTGAGAGGAAATCTTGACGACATTTCCCTGTCATTTCTAGACAATGGTGAACTAGTTGCTAGAGACACGGTCCTATGAGGTTTCTGAGAGGTGCTCAAGGCTTGGACTTTGGCAGAACTGGAGAGGGAGGGAGATCTGAGAGCGACTGATGGACCAACCACTGGGAATCTCTCTCTCTGAGTCCTCAGCAGCTTTCCTGGACAACAGATGGCATTTTATAAAGGAAGTCTTTAGTGGAATCCAGCAGAACATAAACACACATGCTGCAAATCTGTGACGAAAAAAAAAGTCACTGTCTCTCAAAATCAATGCACAGATCAATGGTGCACATTTGCTGTTGACCTAGATTCGTGCATGAATCAGAAGTCTGGCAGTTGTTTTTTCCATGCCAGATTAGTCTGCTTGCTTGCAAAGTAGAAGTGCGAAAGCAGGAGCAGTCTGGCCTCCTTGGCTTCTTGTGCAGCGCCACAGGCACATGGCTGGGCCAGGAGCAAGAGTGGCTGAAGCTGAGGCTTTCGCTGCCCTCTAAAGTCCTTCTCGCTTACAGCAACTCACGCTGTGCCTCCGTGCGCTGCAGCAAAGGGACAATGCCGAGAGACAGCAAATCTGTCTTCTTAGGTATGAAATAGACATGATGCCCTCTCACCAAACACCAACACAAACAGAACACGGACGGACGGAACAGCTAACCTGCCCGCACAGAGTTCTAAGGGAAGATGAGGACAGGTTGCTTTGGAAGGTGGTGCAGTCTCTAGGCAGAGATGCTGCAGCAGTGGGTTTTACTAATCAGCAGAGCCTCCGGTCCTGGGGTCTCAATTCAGTCCTCTGAGGGTCCCCAGGTGGGCTCGGCACCTTTCTTGCAAATGACAGGTGTCTGGTGGCTTCCCAGCTTTTGTCCTGTTATTCCCCCATTCTAAGACTGACTTGCTTCTCCAAGGTGGTGTTGTTATGTGCCGTCAGGGTATCACCCAAAACACATCACAGGAAGTCCCCAGGGGAATCTTCACCCCATTCCAGCAAGTACTCTGAGCGCAGCCCTTTCCTTCCTCCCTTTTTCTGTCAGTTGTTGTAAGAATGTTTAACCCATCTATCAGGGTGGTATCCAAGAGGCATAGAAATCAAAATACATCGGAAACTTCAATAAAGACAAAAATGGCACAGTAAAAACAATTCAAAAGCATAAAACAGCGGAGTAGATGAACTAGTATATGCCATTAAAATGCGCAGGCAACATGTTTTACGGTGGCGTTGAAAAGAATGCCCTGTCAGTAGTGCATCAATGAGCATGATGCAGGCACACCAGAGATGGGGTCTCGCCCCAGAGTTGGCCTATGCAGCAGAATTGCTTTATGGAAGTTCTTATAAAGGAACGTCAGTCATACCAGTGTATATGACACTTACATGGAAAAGATAAGGCGTTGTGCCTGGGGACACCAGTATAGGGCAAACACCAGCCGCTCTCCCGGCAGCCTCTATCACAGGTCACAGCACTCTTTCCCAAAGCTGGGTCTCCGCGGCATCCCTTTTTCTGTGCACCTGTGGTGTCAAAATAGAAATCTGAGGGAGCCATTTTGAAATACGCCAGCCCGAGTGCCATGTCCTAAGTTTTATTTCCTGATCATTATATTTATAGCCTAAGTTTTTCCCTCCTGGTTCTTTCTTCTTGTTGGTTCTTCCTCCCCATCTTATCCTTGCAACTTGTGAGGTGGGTTAGACCAAGACTCAGTAACTGGCCCAAAATTACTTGATGAGCTTCACAGGTAAGCAAGAGAAGAACCCAGAACTCCCGCGTCTCAGTCTAGCCATTGCACCACACTGACTTTCACCGTATGATGATGGGCATTTTGCTAGGATACAACTATTTTGGCAGTTCCAAGAGGAAATAATCTCAATATACTGGATCTGGATAATACTTTGTTTCCATTTCTATCTCACTTGGCTCAGAATTCAATAAAAAGGCAAGAAAATTTCAATTAGAACCTATCAAATAGGCTAAAAGAATGTAGTTTAGGAGACAATGTATGTCTTTTAATTCTTTGTCAGGGAATAAAGGCCAATAATGATGAATCGATATTTCAAATATCAATTCAGAGTGCCATAATTTCATATACACTAAAAATATACATTCTGTAAAATATAGAGGGTAAGATAAACTGTCAGCTTCTAGTTCCTCCCAAGCTACATTCCGTTTGGCTTCCCATTTGCTCTAGTATGAGCTTTCGTCTGCAATGAAACACCCAACATTACGCAGCCCATTCTCATTGTCCGTGATGTTTGGATCACTGTGCTTGTTGGTACCATGATGCGCTTCCCTGTGCATGATCACTGTGTCATGATGTGCTTTCCCCAAAGACAGAACCTGTGGCAAACTGCAAAGTGTTGGGACTGCAAGTACGAAGAGACTTTCGTAATTAGTATTCCCCCTTCCCCACATTCAAAATTAATTCATTGTAAAAGAGAATGTAATACGGAGGCCGCTCCTCCCTCTCCCAGAAAAGCAGCTGCTTTGTTCCATTTGCAAGGCACAAACGGAAGGCAGCCAGAAGCTGATGATTTCAGGTGTGAGGCGATTCAAAATCCCCAAGTGGGGTTCAGGCCTGTGCAGCGCGCGGCACAGGTGCAGAGCTGCAAACATCTGTTCCCTCAGGGAACACTGGCGTCAGATGCTCCTGCGAGAAAGCGAAGCGTTTTCCCCGCAGCCTCTGCCACAAGGTCATTTCCGAATTCTCCGTTGTTCAAACATTCACTGTCTTGCCTCTTGCGTTTGTTAACCAGATGATCTGCCTCTCTCTCCCACTTCCCCTCTGGGAGGCCAAGAGTCCTTAAACAGGCAATCGCTGAAGCTTGTTCCGCTAGCTTTTTTGACTTTTCCCTGTAAAAGAATAGAGCAGACTGGGTAAAAAAGCAATGCAGAGGCTCACACCTACTTGGCCTCTACAGCTATCTTGCGTGCTTGTCCTAGGACAGGGGTCGGCAACCCGTGGCTCTGGAGCCGCACGTGGCTCTTGCACCCCTCTGCTGCGGCTCGGTCGCTCAAAACATGCGCCGGCACAGCCGCTGATCTGCTCGAAGCTCCACTCAGGAACGCAGCGCTAGCTAATTAAGTAGATCAGCTAGTTAAGTAAATCAGCTAGTTAAGTAAATCACTACTTTCCTCCGCTAAACAAGCTTCTTGCAGGCTCTCATGTTACACGAAACGCTGCTGAAAAGATTCTCTTTGTCCCAATGTAATATCCTTCATCTGAATGTTAAAAGCTGTGCTTGGGATCTGTCACAATTCACAGCACTTGACTGTTTATCTGCTAATACGCTGATCTGCGGACCCGTGCCGATTTACTGAGCTCCCCCCCACACCACCCTAGGCCAACCATGGATAAATCAAAGAAAAGTTTCTGAAGAAAACCAAACGTTTAATGATACGTGAGTAGATTCATTGGCTTTTACTGCCGACAAACCTATGGGGCTTGCTGTTTAATGCATGCAGCCCTTTAGCACCGACTTTGACTCTTCAGGAAGCTGTTCTCCTATTCAAAATATATGAAAGGAGTCCTACTAGTTTAGAATGTAAGATTAAAAATAACAGTTTTTAGTGACTGAACAAGAGCTGCAGCTAAATTGTTGTGAGCTGCCCTGAGGCTTTGTTGCGATGGGGGCGGCATAGAAATGTTTTAAATAAATAAATAAATAAATAAATAATGAAGATATACATAGCATTAAGGTAAAAAACGATATATGCAGTGTGATCTTCATTGTAGATGTCAAAAGGGTTTTGCGGCTCCCGGTGTTTTCTTTTGTGTGGGAAACGGGTCCAAATGGCTCTTTGAGTGTTAAACGTTGCCAGCCCCTGTCCTAGCAGAAGACGTGTACGGAAGACACCAGGTATCTGTCCACAGAAGTTCAGCTTGGAGCTGCACCTGATCAAGGTGGACTGTCTGCATTTGAACAACCGCCTCTCCTCCCGGGTGCTTTGCGCCTAGTCTCCTGGACTGAAGGTGGCGCCATCCAGTGGCCAGGAGAAGACTATGCCAGACTGTCGTTGGTGCTAGGCTGGTGACGGCTGGCCCAGCACTGTGAGTCCGCTGCTTTTAGGGCAAGCTGTGCTGATTTCCTCACACTAGCTTAGTCAATGCTTGGCACCAGCCCTCTCACTGATGCTGCTGGGTGGAGGTCTGGGCAGAGAGTGTGCAAATCCGAGGTTTGCTGTAAGCCAAACCATTGTTTAGTTGTACAAGTGAGCCAAACTAAGGCTTGTGGGATGCTCTGAACACCTGAAAAAGGTGTAAAATATCCCTCCTCCACCTCCTCTTTCCAAGGTACCTGTTACCCAAAGCTGAATACACACACCTCGTCCCTCCACCCTCAAGATCCATTTGCAAACAATATATGTCCAAAAAGACTTACCATAAGGTTGATCTGTATTTTTTTCCTGCTACTGTGACAACAGAACAGAATAATCTGTCTTGTGGTCTTTCAATCTAAAGGACGATAAGAAGTCACAGGGTGGTTTGAGGTCAGCTTTGTAAAACGGAACACCCCAATGCACAAAACCTGAGCACTTTCTCCAGGGAAGCATTAGTGCAATCCTTCAATCCTTGGTGCAGTAACTCAAATGGTCGTTTGAGTTGTGGAGCTGGCTGGAGCCCAGCGGGAGGGTCAGACTAGAAGGCCCAGGAGACCTCTTCTGACTCGCTACGTTTCTGTGTCGTTACAAAATTGGAGGTTGGAGAAAAAAGCACAGCTCCATCGGGATGGGCACACATCATGCATTCAACACGGAGCCACTCAGGTACTTCAGTCTGAAATATCAAGCCTTGCCCACCAACAGCTGTGCTGTTTTAACTGGGATGCTGGGAACAAGCACCCCAAATACTATTCTCAGGCCAAGATCCAAAGACACACACACAGCTGGCTCTACAGAACCTCAGATCTGCACTCTTGTTTCCTGAGCAGCTGCTCTTAATAAGGCAAACTGCTTTTGGAAACCAGGGGCAGCTCAAAGGCAGCTTGAGGCCCAATCTGCTACTGAAAAGGAGAGTGTCAAAAATGCAAACATACTGTGTGTGTCTGAAGTACCCTTTGGATCTCAGTCAAAGATTCCAGACAACAGGATTCCCTTCCGAAGGTCATGATGTTCAAAGAATGCTTCTGCCATGTGATTCAGGGATTTCCTCTCCTTTTGAGAGCTACATTTCATCAGTGGTTATCAACTGTAGGCTGTATGGTGGTGATGGCTGACAAGAATCAGCCCATCCTCTAAGACCATCACCTTCTCACACTCTTTTGGTGAGATGAGGACTCGTTCTCTAGCCCTGTGGACGAGAGAGGCAGCATTCGGAGTTCACACACCTGCAGCTTTTGGCTCTCTTTGCTTCAGGTGTCTTTTGAGTCCAAAACTGAAAGACACCCTGAAACCCCCGAGTTTCAGAAGTGTTTTGGTAGATCAGCAAGGAAGAACAGCTGCAGAAGCAAAGCCAACGAATAGCAGGTTCTTCCTCGGTGTGCTTACGGATTCAGCAATTTCACAAGCTAAGTGATCCCACCCTCTATTGCAGCCCCTTCCTCCTTGACCAGTCTAAAAACACAGTGGGCCGGCAGGCAGGGGATGACGCAGATGCAAATGGCCAATCTCTTTCCTTCGTGTCCAGTGTGGAAACAGTGGGATCGGTGGCGAAGGCTTCCATGGGCTGCATAAAATTAGACGAGGGGCTCCATGTGGCCTGTGGGCTCCTCACCCCAGGTAAAAAGGGTCCTTTTTCTTAACCCCAGGTAAAAATGCAGACCATGAGGCTGAGCCGAGCCTGACGGTCTGGTTACTGGACCTTCTGGCTTCCGATCTCTCTGTAGGAAAAACCATGGACTCCATTTTGTGCAAAGAAAATGCAGCTCTTGGATCATGAAGCATGCCACTTGGAAAGATAAAGTGTAAATGCACATGCGAAGCAGCCTAAACCTCCAATCCTATGCACACCTACCTGTATAGGATTAAATTACAGGCGTTTTCACAACCTGACTTTCTGCAGAATGTAGAGACTCACCGTTTCATAAACTGGCTGAAGGTGCTTCTCTTTTCTACACCATTCTAAAAGACACATTTTGGGTGTGATCTGTGGGGGATAGTCTCGCCTGAGAAGAAAGAGCAAAAACAAATAATAAATGCACATTTCAGGACAGAAGCGGTGTTATTGTTCAATGCCAAAGATGACCGATGCCAAAAAGAACCCCTCAAATGGTCTCCAGAAGCATAAAACTGGTTTGGGCGGCAGAAGTGACCCTGTTGTGTTTGTGGGAAAAAATGCATCTGCACCCCAGCAATCCCAACTATATACCAAGAAAATCTGAACTCCACAGCTGTATAAATTAAGGAAGCAGAATCTATTTGCATAACTTGTTTTACTTTGTATAACTTACTCTTATTATCCCAGCCAATAGGCAGCACTGAACACTCACTTTCAGTCACCGAGAACTGGCCAACTCTCCAGCACCTGAGAATTCATCAAGCATTGCCCATATACTTTGAAGTGTGTTTGTGTTATCATAAGGACTAGAAACATTTTTTTAAATGCACGTTAAGATTTTGTTGCTCAGTGCCACATCTTTAAGTTGTTCCTGCAATCCTGCACAACCATGGTGAACACATTGCCTCGGCGATAGCTGTCCGGTAAAGCAAACAAGAGTAAGAGCTATTACGCAAAATGTGTGCCCAGGGCGTAGGTTTTGTTTCCACAAACACAGCCGAGTATGGGGATGTCGATTTGCCAAACCACTTTAAATGTTTTGCTTATCGTGAGCAGTTTGCCAAGCACTCTCGTGGAATGCCTGTTCCACTGCTGCCCTGGCCTGGGCCTGGCCTGGCCGGACAAGTACTGCAAGCTGCCATGTGGAGCAGCAGCGCATCTGGAGCACCAGCCGGACAACTTACGCATCCTGAGGGCACGGATGCTGCTGAGAAGACGGGGGTTCGAGCAACAGCACAGCTCTCTTGCTGGCTGGACTGCTCCAGAGGCACGCCGAGGCCACGCCACTGGAAGCTCTCAGAAGCCACTCCACCATCAGCTACCGTATGTGAGTTACCCAGTTTCTACTACAAAGCCTTACCAATTACCAACACAGAACTGGTTCAGCAAGATGGTCTTGGGACTATCTAGCCGATACAGTAACACAGAAGTCTGGCCTTCCCGCAAGCGGGCTTAGTTTGCAGTGTATCACATTCTTAAGCATATTATAGTAAAAGAAAAGAAAAAGACTTCCCCACAGTTTCACCCATGTCGCAGCTCTCTTTTGCATTTGTCGGTAATACATGTGGTTCTGTGTTAGTGCACACATACAACATGATGCCTGAACACACACGCTCCGCGGTTGTGAAACCTGTTAAAAACTAGGTACTGCAGCTTTCCTGACGGAGTCCACACCCCTGTGCGCAGGCCAAGTGCATGGCAAAATACGCTTGTAGTCACCGCACTAGCCGCCAGGCTGGCTCCCAGAGAATAGGAGTCGTTGGCTAGCCCCACACTGAAATAAACAGAGGAAGTGGATACTATTTCTTACTTATCAAATCTAACTGCCATTTTTATGACGTCTGCATCCTCTTCATCTTCCTCTTGGTCCTTGGCTTCTAAGGAAACCCGTTTGGCTTCCAGAAGGGCTGATGCTTCTTGATAGAAGCTGCTCATCCCAAAGGCTTCACTAAGAAACAGGAAAGGAAAAGAGCAAAGTCACAGCACATTCAAAACGAATGCAAACCCTCTAACTGCAGGAAGACAGATATGCAAGGAAACAGCAGTTTCAAAGGCGATGGACATGGGGAGAAGTTAGGGCAAAGACGGCATAATTGTCTGCCCCCTTTGTGACTTCTTGGAAGATGTCTAGGACAGTATCTACTGCAAAGCTGCCTTCCAGAGTATGTACTGGGCTGGGGGAGTGGGTGGGGGGATGAACTACAGTATCACGCTGAAAGCACAGAAAGCTGCTAGGGGGAAAGCTGCCCCCTGAAAGTGCTGCTGACTGAAAGCTTCTAATGCTGCAGCTATGCTTGCGGCAGTAGCTCGAAGCCCCGGATGCTCAGCTGAAGCGGCAACAGCAGAATGAAAGAACTGACTTCCCCCAGCGAAGGAGCAGGCATGCAGGCAACCCCGAGCCCCACTCTCCCCTCCAGGCCCCACCTCCCTGGCACCCTGTCCAGCAAACAAACACCCAGAAGCACAATCGAAGGGAAAATGGCTAAGGCCGAGGCATCTGCTCCCACCATCTCTTCCTCCTGCTGTTTCACAACTGTTCAGGGGGTTCTTAGATCAGGATGTGTCACTGAGTGTGTAGCTGCACTCACCAAGACCCACACGACAGGGTGCAGGAGCTCAGGCCGGGGGCAAAACCAAGGCCTCTGCTGCTCAAAGAAGGCCTTGCCCCCTCCCCTGGCCCCAACGCCTCCCCCTCAGCCACTGACTGTCAGGTGCTTCCTCAGCTTGGGTGTAGTTTCCCTCCATTCTGAAAGGCTGAAAAGCCTCCCCTAAGGCTGAGTATGAGCAGTCAGAGCATTAAGCTAAAACATGCCAGTGTTTCGTGAATCCTGGTCATGCTCCCTTCGGCCTCTGGTTCTTCCAGAAGAATTTTCAGCAGCCATGTCCCTGCAGCAGCTTTCTGTGCTTCCACGGGATGCAGTCTGCAAGGATTTCTCCAAAAACAGAATTCAGCCCGTGGGCTGTAAAAGATTCTGTGGCCCTGCTGTGTGAAACAGTGACTTTCTACTGGGTGCTATACATCCACTGGCCACCAGAGAGCAGTCCCAAGCTACTGTTTAAATCCAAAGATGCTGATTTGACTGATTCATTTGCGCGGCTCCAAAAGCAGACTAATTCTACACCTGTCAAAAACTACCCCAATTGTTACATTTTGAGAAGAAAGACAAGTCTAATGCCTAAAATCAGAATTAACCTATGAACAATGGAAGCAATTCAGTCACACATCTCGTTTCAATCAAAATCTGAAAACCCCCTTCCCAAATTCCAGTGGCTTCAAATGCAGCACAGTGACCTTGGTGGGCCAAATCACGGCCTCTGGGAAGCGCAGGGCAAGGGTGTGCACGGCCAAAGCGATCGCCGAGTCCTTGCCCAAGGCTGTCCATACCTTTGACTGCGAATAAACCGGCAAGGCAGAGAGTCTGGTCTAGCAAAGACCCAGAACGCTTGAGGAATGTGTCATTGGGTAGACCATATAGGAGCCAGCTGCCTCCTCCTTGAAGCCAAATTCAATTAAAATAAACCTCTTTCCAAAGCTTTTTTCAAAACAGACTAAGTTAGGTGAAAGTAGGTTTCACTAAACTCAGCAGAGCAAGTTGGGCTCCATTAAATGAAGTCCCACCAATCTCGGAGGGAAATTGGTGGGACTTCAACAGAAGCTTCCATCCTGCACCCTCTTCCCTCAAAGGAAGCCTCCTTGATTCCACTGGGACTTAAATCTGAGCAGACATGCATAATACTGCGGATCTAGACCTGGCTCTTGCCTGTCAGGACCTACCTATGGCTTTCTCGTAATAAAAACAGGCAAGCAAAGCAGATGGTGCCCAGCAGAAATGTACCCCAGTGCTTTCACAGCTTGGTTTTCCAATTACTGATCAATCTTTATCTTGTTATTTTAAAGACCACTTCAGAGGCATGAAGCATAAAAACCCCTTTCCTCCAAGCAATGCAAGCTAACTTATAGTTTAATAAACCAAGTATGAACCAAAATAATTTAGGGCTTAATGAATAAAATATCTCTTCCACAAGAGATACATTTACAGAATAATGCCTTGTTTCCTTCAGGGCCCTCATATGATGGAACATACATACAAGTCCTGATATATTTAAAGCACATTTAATTTATAAAACTGGTACCTCCTTTCTCCCTTCCTCTAACATGGGTGATTTTACCCTTTTACTTAATTATAGAGGAGAGTCTCTTACCAGATTTCCTGCATGGACTGTGCTCCATGCAGCTTCTTCCCTTGTGCATTTTCCAACTGTTCCCTTAGCATCTGACACAAACAGTACTTCGTGTTGGTGTAGTGGTTATCATATCTCACTGCCTGATAAAAACGAGGCAAAAATCAGGAAGAGGCGCAGTAGCATGAAAGAAGTGATCTGAAGCATTTCAAGATTGGGCTTCAAGCCCATGCCACTGAACAATGCCGTCCTCCTTTCTGAAGCTGGCATGGCTGAGTTGCCTAAAAGCTTAAGGCCCAGGGGCTTCTTATTCAGTAAGAGAGAGCAGGGCTTGATAAAAACACAGTGGGTTGTTGCAGAACCCACTAAGAGAAACCAGCAAATGCCCTTTGAATCACAAGAACCCTTGGCTTTGTTTCTAAAGATTGATTGATCTCTAAACCTCTGTTGCAGGTAGTTTTGAAACTGTATGACCGAACCATCAAAACTGAAGATGCCTCCTATAGTGGAGGGTGGAGGGGATATAAATCTAGCCATTGTGTAGGAGAGGCGAGGGGAACCTTCTTTCAAACAAGGGTCGCATTTCCTTGAGGGTAAATGCCAGCCGTGGGGATGGCCAACATCTCTCTCTCCCTCTCCCTCTCCCTCTCCCCCCCCCCCCCTGCCAGCCCCTTCTCTCGTCAGCTGCTGATGTGAATGAGCCAACTTCTTGTTGAGAGCCTGCACAAAATCGGCTGAGTCACAAGTTGCTCACCCGGGTGTAAGATAGACCAAGTCTGCTTCTGTTGAATAAGGAATACCGAGAAATGCAAACACCTCCCATGGGTCTTATGTGACTGCAATTGCGGTCTAGTTAAAGGTTAGAACATAAAAGTCAGGAATTGCAATCCATACATATCTGATATATTCCTGCATGACATCTTTCAGGGGGCATGGACCTTCCTTCCTGAAGACCGAGGGGTTCCACATGGCAGCACGAGCTACCATCACAGAGGACGCCGCAGTCGCTTGCTGAAAAGTCTCTATGTCAGCATATTCTTTAATGAAGTCATGGGATCCCCCACTGAAACACAAACAGCATTGCTCCCATCAGAAAGAGCAAAACATAACGATCCGCAGGTACGTTCAAAACACAGTGCAGAAGACAGGATATATGCTGCATATAAATGGGAGCACACTGGAAGCAGCCAAGGAACGTTCCCCACTTCTAAAGGATGTGGCACACACAAGTAACAAGCTCTTCTACACACAGCACATTTCAAGCATTTAAAGAGCTTCCCAAGTTACCACTCAGAAATGTTTGCAACAGTCCTCTAAAGCCTTCCTCAACCTAGAGTCCTACAGATGTGCTGGGACTTCAACTCCCAGCATGCACCAGCCCGCCAGGCCAGCTGGGGCATGCTGGGGGTGGCAAGCCAACATACCTGGGGGTACCAGGTTTAGGGAAGGGTGCTCAATGGGATACCAATATTATTGTCCCCACACAGCTGACAGCAAAAGCTCCCTATGGTGCCTGGGGAAGATGTGAAATTTTAGCAGGCTCCCAAGTCACTCTCCCAGTCACTACATGACACTAGTTTTGTCTGGTGAACACAACACACCAGCCTTCTATTCTTTATACCTGGCAAGTTCAGCAAAAGCAGCAAGGAGGTCCATGTCACACACGTTATCCCAGACTTGTCCCAGTGGAGCTAAAAATGACAGTGCAAATGGCAGGGCAATCGTTTTGGGTTTTTTTTTTTTTTTTTTTTTTTTACCCAATGCCTCTGATAGCTCCTTGAGCTCGGTATCGGATGTTAAATCCTTTTTAAAAATGATGCACCATTATGGGCAACCCTTGCCGGGCATCCTGGGAAGGCAGCCCCCCAAATCCTACACAAAGACGTTTAGCAGCCTTTCACTGGTGGCTTTTGCAACCTGAAAATCTCCTCTTTTGATTGTTTTAGCCAAGCTGCAGCCACCAGGAAGTGGCTAGTGGCAGCTGTGCCACACGAGGCAGAGGCCTTCCCAGGTTGCCCAAGCGCAGGCCCCGGCTTTTGGGGCTGGCTGGGAAAGATGATAACTCACCAGCGCCTGGCTAACGCAGCAAGCCCTTCTGCCACTCTGGACACGGGGCATGCTTGTCTCTCAGGCTGCCCATGGCTTACTGCACTGCCTAGGTTGGGATGAGAGAGTGGGTTAATTAACCCCTAGAACAAACCATGGGCTTATTTCTAAACCACCTTCTGGGATGCGCTCTGGGTTCAGGCAACCATGCTCAGAAGCCACTGCGAGTTTCCACTTAGTAGGTTGTCTTACAACTACTCTGAAAGAGGAGATGTACCCCTGAAGCACTCCAAAGAGTTAAGGGTGAACACAAGCATAGCCATGAGCACTGGAGCAAAGGGTCATTTCTGAAAATGTTGCAACAGGTAAGGTAATCAAGACTGTCTTGCAAAAGGTGATAGGCTCTTTAGCTATGTGAAAATTCTGTCAGAGGTTGATTGTACGTCCCAATGGCATGGTTTTTATTATGGGTAATAAGGCATGAAGTCTGCAGCTCTCTGAATTCATATATCATCTATCACCAGAAAGTGTAACATTAATTATATTCAATTCCATTGTCATTGGCATTTCAGTCTCAAGTAATACAATCAACACATTTTGTAAAACTGTTGCAAGACAATTTTTAAAAGAGAAAGCAAGAGAAGAGATACATTAAAAGTAGCCAGATAGTATTCACTGCTAATAATTGCTACTCTGTTCTAGTTCCTTCAAGTCTGAAAAACAACCCTGCAAATGTGTCGATTATATAATTTTAAACAGTAAAGTCAGGCTACAACCATGTATTTCCCGCAGGAAAAAAAAAACCCTCCACATGCCTTATTATTCTGTAATCCATGCGAGCCAACAGCTAAGCTGCTGCTAATTAGAATGATTTTGTTTGGAACGCATCCTGGCTTTTCCCTGATAATAGGATCACACTGTTCTAACCAAGGCAGAAAGAATGACTGCTGGGAAGGTAGTCAGACCCAGTGCTCTTAATGCATCCAAAAGGATTAGAAAAACTTATTATCAAGGCAGTCAAGAGACTTAACACAAGCACTTCTAATTCACAGTACAGCAGCTAAGTCAAAACCAAAGAAATACTCTAAAGAAGGTAACAAAACCTCCACTAAAATAAAAGAGCTGGCATTAGGAATTAACACAGCTCCATGCCTGCGACAAATTATACATCAGCACAAAATGTGGTACAGAATGACTCTTTTCAAGAGTCTCGGGGGGGTGGCAGGGAGAGGGGGTCAGGTGAAGAGGGAAAAACAAGTTTCTAGTCCTTCTGGTTGCAATAGTACACAAGGAGTGCCCACTGAAATTACAGACCTATTAGCCTTACGTCCATTGTAGGAAAAACAGTGGAAAGGCTCATAATAGCAAGAGATCTAGTGATGCTAGATAGGGAAGGGAGGCTGGCAGCCACACAACACGGCTTCTGCAAAAACAGGTCCTGCCAGACAAACCTTGTGGAATTCTATGACAAGGTTTCGAGATGGCTAGATGGAGGGGATGCAGTGGATGTGGTATACCTGGATTTCAGCAAGGCCTTTGACAAAGTGCCCCATGATATCCTGGTGGAGAAACTGAGGAGTTTTGGGATACACCAAAGCACTGTCCAGTGGATTAGGGCATGGTTGACTGACCGAAAGCAGAGGGTAACCATTAGCGAAGAATCATCGGGATGGCGGCCAGTGACAAGCGGGGTCCCCCAGGGCTCTGTCCTGGGGCCGATCCTGTTTAATCTTTTCATTAACGACATGGAAGAAGGGGTGAACTGTCTGCTGATCAAATTCGCAGACGATACTAAAACTGGAGCAGTGGCCACAACTGAGGAGCAGGTACTCCAGATCCAAAAAGATCTGGACAGACTATGGAAGTGGGCAGGAGACAACAGGATGGCGTTCAATGTGGATAAGTGCAAAGTCTTGCACTTGGGGCATAGGAATGGGTGTCATAAGTACAGGTTAGGGGACAAGTGGCTGGAGAGCAGCACTTGTGAAAGGGACTTTGAGGTGCTGGTTGACTGCAGGCTGAACATGAGTCAGCAGTGTGATGCGGTGGTCAAGAGGGCGAACACCACCCTTGGTTGCATAGCCAGAAGTGTGGCTTCTAGATCAAGAGAGGTATTACTACCACTCTATACGACTCTGGTGCGCCCACAACTGGAGTATTGTGCTCCGTTTTGGGCCCCTCATTACAGAAAGGATATAGCCAGGTTAGAGTCAGTGCAGCGTAGGGCCACAAGGTTGGTGGCCAGTTTGCAGGGGATGCCGTATGAGGCGAGACTGAGGGAACTGGGTCTCTTCAGCCTGGAGGAGACTCAGAGGGGTTATGTTGGCGACATGCAGGTATGTGAGGGGATGTCACATGGAGGTAGGTAGAGACCTGTTTTCCCCTGCAGAGGAAGGCAGGACGGGCTCCAACGGAGCAAAGCTCAGGGAGCCAAGGTTCCATTTAGTTGCCAGGAAGCATTTCCTGACAGTCAGGACCCCGAGAGTGTGGAATGGGCTTCCATGGGAGGTGGTGGAGGCCCCATCGGTGAGGGTGTTCAGGGATAGGCTGGACATGCACATGGTGGGCATGTCACGAGCAGAGCCGGCTGGAGCCAGGGGTCAGACTAGATGGCCCGGGAGACCCCTCCTGACTCACTCTGTTTCTATGTTTCTATGAAATCTCAGAAACCAGAGTTGCTGACATGATTTCCTGTGAGGTTTCAGGGCCCTATTTCACTTTTTGCCCTTGCATGGCAATACAAAAATCAGTGTTAAGCAAATAGTGAGAAAAACACACAAGCAAGCAAAAGAGGAGAAATGTCTGCATCACTTCATGATTTCTGCACATCACAGCAGTTAGTTGTGCAGAATCTGGATTGCTGAAGTGCTGAAATGCAGTATATTGTTTAGCACCAAAAACTCACAGCTCTTGGTACTATTCTGTGACAGCAAAAAGGTTGATGCTGAGTTGAGACCTGGAGATCCAAGTTCTAGGCCACGCTCACCCAAGAATCTCCCTGGACCACTCTTGTCCTACCCTACCTCAAAGGGCTGTTTGGAGAATGAAATGGAGAGGGGAAAGGGAATCAGGGAGGCCACCTTATGCTCCTTGCAAAAATAAAAAAGGTACAATATAAATGCCATTGTTGTTGTTCTGCCATGCCTCTTCTACAAGCCTCTAAACATCCTGTCTCTAGTAAGTTTGTTTTTTAATATACGGCCTGTTTGCAGAGATACCTTGGACTAATAGAAGCGGCAGAGTCCGACTTACTTGGCCATTACTGGAATAGAGACTGCTGCGGAAATTTCTTTAATGACATCGCAATGGACAGGGTGCTGCGGCCTTTCATCTTTCTTCCTTTGCAGGAGAGAGAACAAGAGCAAACAAACAGGTCAAGGCTTATCACCACCAAGCGTTTCTCTTAGAAGAGAGAATGTCACCCAGCCAGCCCTCGTGATACAAGTCGGCATTCAAGAAAGGCCAGCTAGTATCTCTCTCTCTCCCAGAGAGGTTTACCTTCCATGAACTGCAATAGCAGCAACTCCAGTCCGCTCAATCCTCTTTACTAAACTTATTGTTTCTTCTTTCTGAGAAGGAGAAAAGGAAGAAAAAACATATTCATGTTTTCTGCTCTATCAAATGTCAGCATTAGGTAGCTCTGTAAGGACTTGCCTCTATGTGCCACCGGGTTGGCTTGGCATTCCCCATGCTTGAGTAGGGACCCACACATGTAGACACAGTTTATGCAATCTTCAGTTCCCAACTCTGAGAGGCACAGACTGGGCCTAAACATAAAAAACTCCTATCTGACCAATAATATTGTAATTTACGAGTAAGATATCGTAACACAGAGATATATACACACACACAGAATGCTTTGCAGAAGAACTCACCCCCTTTGACTCTTAGAAGACTGTTTAGAGCGGCCTCACCCAACCTGGTGGCCTCTTGTGGCATTTGGACAGCAACTTGCAGAATTCTCATCCAGGAGGGACACTGAATGGGGATTCTGGGTGTTGCAGTCCAAACATGTCTGGAAGGCACAAGGGCAGGGAAGACTGATTTACAGCAACAGTGAGGACTACCCAGTGTGAAGAGCAGGACTGGGATGCAGGAGACCGAAGTTCTAGTCCCCACTTGGCCCTGGAGCTCTGTGGGGGACCCTGGGCCAGCCACCGACTGTCAGTCTACCCTACCTCACAGGGCTGCTGAGAAGACAGAACAGAAAGGGGGGCTATGCAAGCCACCTTGGCTTCTGTGGTGGAAAAAGGTGGGATATAAGTATAGTAAATAATAAATCCATCCCGGTAAGGCCCTTGGGGCTTTCCCATCTGGCCTGGCTGTTTCTGGCCCTGTTCCTGGCCCGCTCCCTCTGCCCCAGAGGAAACAAAACGTTCCTTTTTCCGATCAGGAACTGATTGGAGTGCTTTTCCCTGAAAATGGCCTCAGTGCTGAGCTACTGTGTGGGGGAGGGGGCACCACACAGAAAATGACTAAGCGATTCAGCCTGGCCTTCCTGCTTACCCTTTTTACTTATGAGCAGTGATGATGCTCACGCTGACTGCTGAGTAAACACACGGAGGCTCGGCATTTGTGATGCTACTTGCAAGTGCCGAGTGTACTTTCCTGCGGCATCTGAAGCCAGCCTCTGCACACAAAGCGCCAACGCGCTTCCACCCATCAACCGGCAGCGACAAACTGGGACAAACTTCAGCCTGACCCCCTTTGCCTTCGGCTCGACCCAGCACTGGAACGTGGCCCTGAGCGAGCCTCAAAGCGGAATCCAGCCCTCAGGCTGAAAGAGCTCTCCGCCTGTGCCTTAACATTCCTAGGCAACATGCCTCAACTTTTTAACATTGTGTGCAGGAATGCGATGATGCAAGCTTGTTTTATACAGCTTCCCTTTTGAGGGGGACGATCTCATCTGCTTTGCCTCTTCCAGTCACAGCACTGCTTCCTGTGCGTGGACCACCGGCTTGAGAAATCACATTTGGGGCCCTGCTGGCTTCTGCGACTGGTGCGCCACCTTGTATTTTTAAAATTTAAAAAGCTGATCCTATTTATCTTGTAAGACTTTGCCTCCTGAATGCTTTCCCACAGACACCAAACCACAGTATTTTCTGGGCTCATTTCTATTCTGCTCATCTATTATTATCAATCAGCAATTTACTGTTTTAGTCAAAGCATTCTTCCAAGATCACAACATGTTCTTACTGATGGCAGGATTCGTATTTTGCAGGTCACCGGCTTACTAATTCCATTGACAAGAGTAGTTAGAATCTAAAGAAAGGGAGAAGAAAAGTCCTCTTTAAGTGCATGGAACAGTGCCTGGCAGGCTTAAAGCACCTGACATTCCTGCCAGGTTGTCCCTCCCCATTCCAATTGCTTCCCCATTGAGAACAGTGAGGGAACTAAAGCATCTGAAAGGGAATCTTTAAGAAACTGTAGCAGTGGGCAAGTTCCCAGGCTTATGCCTCTTTCACTGCTTGATCAGGCTGCTGGCCACTCTATGCCTGGAAATCTTAAACACGACCTACATCTACTGCCTGTCCTTTTTGGCTCTCACCATGAAACAGAGTCTAAATAACAGCAATAATTTTGCTGCAGAGAGAAAGGTTGCACTAACAACAATTGTTTGGGTGAAGTTATGACACTCATATGCTTTGGATTCAGCTCCACTTGACAAATTACGACTCCTATCAAAATTGTTCTTTGTGAAGAAATGACAGAAATCCAGCAGCAGGGCAAAACGAATACTGAGGCATGAATTACTCACGGATTCTATTTTGTCAGGACTGGAAAGGAGTGCTGCTCCCATGCCACCCTGGGGGAACACAGACACACACACACACAATCATGACTGTGGCAACACAGATGGCAGGCTGGTGGCCACGATGGATGAGATCGTGTGGCAGCATCGCGATCGCCTCATGTGAAGCTTCCAGTTGCACAGGAGTCGGGGCAGCTGCCTTTACTTCCATGGAACCCACATCACCCTTGCTGCAGTGACAATGGTTGCCACTAAGCCCGGTCCAAACTAACGGTCCTCGTTCAAAGGACCTCTGATGGCAAGACTGAGGCCCAGGAGAGGAGCTGCCACTTTGCCCCTTTTAAGCCTTGACAAGAAGAAGTTCAAACTACACACCTGAGCTTGGGATTGCCTCACCTTTCTGCCATCAGTCAGAGATGACTGGAAGGAACATAACAACAAGCACACGGCATCCACTTTGCTGGGACAACATCTTAGTTATGCATCCCATTGAAATGGAGCAAGATCCCTAGCTAAAACATTTTTACCCAGTGCTATGAGGCATGAAGCATTGTTTATGTGGGAAGGTTTATGTGGCCTGGAGACACAGAAGAACGCCTGGCATTGTTTCACAGTACAAGGGAAGATATGTATCGTTCTCTTATGACATGATAGTACGAAGAAAGAGGAAAACAACCAAAATGATGCCCAAAGTTTATACTGATGTCAAGCTAAGGATTGTACAGCATCTGGCAAACTGCTGGTGCTAAATGTGAAGGAGCACAAGACAGACTCAACCGACCTTAGTGGAATATTCCTTGGGACATCCCATGTTGACATCAACAGCAGCCACATCGTTCTCTCTGAAATACAAAAGGGAAATCACAAATGCAAAAAACACCAGGGCAGAAGTGGATACATGCTACTGAAAAGATTTGAAGCAATCAATTTCCAAGATCGATTATAGCCAGCAACTGAAGCAACAGTGACAGCAAAACCTGACATTTTACACCAGAATTAGGTTGCTGCAATTAAGAAGGTTGAAGTAAAAGCAGATCTGTGCACTGGAGGATGTGTGAGAGAGAAAGAGCTCCAGTTCTGGCGCTGAAAGCGAACCACTGTGCTAAGGATGTGTTCAGGTGCGCCATACTCAAGCACTCAGACCTAATTCTAGCACAAGGCTATAAAAAAATAAGATCTGTATTATCTACTGTTCAGCTTGATACAGATATAGATGTTGGTGTGACAAGTCTAACTTCTACTCCTGATATGCAGATTGAAAAAAGCAAGGCTTTTTGAGGATTTACTTGTGCCAGGGTCCGAGCGGCTCTGGGGCGCCACCTGGGAATTGGAGCAGCCACCACACCAAGCGCAAGACTGGGACCAGGACTTGCTAGAGCTCCCGTCCTCCTGAGGAACAACAGCTGGGGGCTCTGGGAGAGGGACCGTGTGAGCGCAAGCTCTTCCAGCCCCTTCATCTTGCTCGATCCTTTGCCTCACCGCAGCTCCTGCTGCTCCTGAATCCCGCCTGGTTTATCCTGCCTCTGATACTTGCTCCCTGCCCAATCTGGGATGCAACCACGCGCCCTGCTCAGAGCCCAACTCCTCCTTTGTGCCCCAGGCTCCAAAATACCAGACAGTCCTTTACAATGCAGGTCCTTATCCGCACCTCCCAGCTAACCAGGCAATACAACTCTAAAAAGCTGAATGACAGGCACAAAGAGTGAGGGCATGTTGAATCCAAACTGGAAACTTCTCCCCAAAACTCCCCTTTCATTCACATGCAAGCTCCACCCCTAGGGTGGGTCCTGCTGGTGGAAAGTCAGCCAGAAAGTCCTCTGAGTAGCTCATCTCTCCCAACGCCCATCATGAGATCAGGGACTGGGTAAGGCAATGGCTCCCCCCACTCCTGACTCCCCTCCCATCTCTTCCAAAACATGTCTGTTCGCCCACTTGCCCTGGGAGACTGGGCAACTGCCCTGATAGCACATCAAAACTCCTGACCCCCGCCCTTGATTTTTCTACCTTCCCACCGCCCCTTCCTTGGTGTCCTCCCCTTCAGAATCCCTTTCAGGCCCTTGGAAAGACAGCTAAGAGTGAGCGCCCGGCCCAGTCCGTACAGGTTTGGTCACGGCCACGCCCTCATCCTGCTCTGACATGCACTCCTGTTTCCTCACTTCAGCCTGTTTCTCAACTATGACTCTGCCTCTGACCAGCTACCAGACTCCAGACAGTCTTCAGACCCTGCCCTGCCTCAGGCCCTGTTACCTCTGTCCAGACTCCTGCTGCCCATGCCTCAGACGCTGAAAACTTGCAAGACAGGGCCAGCTGGTAACGTCCTGTCAGTAGATACTAGAGAAAGAAACAGCTATAATAAAACAAAGCTCGACGGTTACTTACACAAGTTTTGCAACTGCCAAAGCCCTCCCAGCATCTGCTGTCCCCTGAACAACATGTAGAGAGAAAACACCGATGATGTAATTATTCATTTTTATGTCAGACATTTAGGTCTCACCCATCTACCCAAAGGATCCCCAGACACGCTCACAAATAAATCAAGACAATAAAACATTATATTCACCTTAACGCTGCAACAAATCACAGTTCGTGTAGCATATGGGCTAAAACTGGAAGAATCAACGTATTTCTTAGCCAGAGGGCTGGGAAAAAAGTTTTTCCTAAATCCTACAACCAAAAAACTCTCACTCTTAAAATGAGACTATGCATATTGTACTCATTTCAGTGGGAAATGCAGGCATGGATGGGCAGAACCAGTTGTGCTCAACCTTCCTATAGGGCTTGATAAGAATAACAGGTAAGAAATCTGTGATTTCTTATCTGTGATTGACACTGATTTACCAGTTAAACCTTCAAGTTTGGAAATACCTAACTATGTTCAGTTTGCCTTATTAGTATTCTGCCACGATGGTTTGCTTAACTTTTAATCAACAGATTTTGTTTTCGTTTAGTCATTTCCATTTCTTTGCATTATGAAGACTGCTTTAATTATTGCATTGGTCTCTTAACTTAATATACCCCTGGGGCAGAAGAGAGCAATAAAAACCAATTTAGCTTCATCTCTATGTGATACTTTTAAAGCAGGCAACCAAAACCTCAGCTGCCCAGACTGCAAATGCTGTGAATATGCAGGCGATTCTAAACAGACAGAACACCTAATGATGACAAATTTACCAAGGCGATGTATTGACACAACTAGAATACATACTCACCCATACTCTTATTTGAATCTTAAGAAATTATATTCTTCATGCTCTCTCTTCCTAAGTCAGTCAAAGTGGGAGAGACTTCATTGACTCTTGCTCTAGCAGTTCATTAAGGTATGTGAACAGTACAGTCAAGTCAAGCAGGAAGCCAAGATCTAGGCAGTTCTTACCATTTGAAAGACAACACAGTCTTTTTCCCTTTCACAGGTCCTGAACACAACCCTCCCATTGGGAGCAACAAAGTCCACGGTTCCAAGAACCTCTGCACAACAAAGAAGGGAGAACTACATTAAGGTAGGGGCACCCACATTGTCACTCAAAAGATTTCAGTTCTAGAACTTGAGAAAGGAAGAAGCTTGAGAAATAAAAGATGCTGGAAGTTTGGCTTTCCATTTTCCCAATGAAACCTGTCTAGTGCAACATGGACAGATTAGCATGAAGCTCTTCCAAGACAAGGAGGCACATTTCTGCCAGAATTAGAGACCCCAAAGACTCATTTTAATACTCCATGGAAGCTACCTTGAATAATCTGAAGTCCCAGCCTACACTTTCAGACATAACAAAAAGATATACAAACATTTATTTTTATGTATGGTTTATTATTCAGTTTGCAGCCAGAGTTCTTAATTATCTCTATACCAATCTTCTAGCCAAAGGATGTCAATGAATTCAAATCTGGGCCCACGTTGAAAAGCATTCATGCAGCCAATGTGTTTATGGGGAACACTCAGTGGTCTGTTGAAAATTGTATGGTGCTTGTAGTTAGAAGAGTTTATTGTCTCAAGCTAAGAGTTACAAAATCCATTATACAGGAAGTGATTATTTCAGGAGCTGACAGATGCTACTGAGAGCATCCTTATGGGTATTTAGCAGTAGGGGGTACAAGATTACCAACAAACACAAAGAATAATCTTACCAAAACAAGAAGAGAAACCTCAACTACAAATTTACCTCAAGAAGGCTAATAGAAGTAGGCATATAATTATTAATAAAAGTACTTATAGGCCGCTTATAACTGCCAAAGCCTTTCTAATATATAATGGAAGTATACTTGCCATTTACAGTCCTCTTGCACTGAAGCATCTTTAGGTCAATCAACTCCTTAAAGAACAATGACAAGAATGGATTAGATCAAGGTCCCAGGCAGAAAAAAATATATTTCTCTGTACAAAGGCACACAAATCTAATGAAAGAAAATATGTAGAAACAGAACTGAAAAGAGATTTCCCCCTTCTGACTTATTACAGCAAAAAGAAACAGATTTGGATGCCAACCCCCCAAATCCTTGACCAGCAGCCGTGGTACAAAGGGCTGAATGGGAGGTGCCTTGCAGATCCTTCAACTCCTCCAGGCTGCCTGCCCCTGAAAACATTTTAGTTACATCTGGCTAGTAAAAGGTTTTATGCTAGGTCTGGGGTTGACGTTTCCCCTTAGAGATTAAGGCAGCAGCAGAGAACTTGCCCCATGGATTAGAGGGAGGGGGAAAGGGGGCTTGTATTCCCAAGAGCGGCTCTCACTTTCTCACCTGTGATTGACAAGAGGCCAGTATAACTCTTGGCCAGCATTGCAGCTGCACAAGCCTTTTAGCTTCTCTAAAGTAAAGTTGTAGACAGTTAGGTCTACAACTTTAGACCTATGGTATGGAGAGCCATACTGAAGGCTCTCCACATGAGATTGAAACCTTACATATCCAGCAAAAATTTTGGGTGCCTAGGTGAAATAACTGGAAATATTTATAGCAATGAACCCCTTCATAGATCACTGCCTTGTCATGGTGAAGGGGCTTGCGTAGCTCAATGAAGCTATGAACTATGCCGTGCAGGGCCACCCAAGACAGACAGGTCATAGCAGACAGCTCTGACAAAACGTGATCCACTGGAGAAGGAAATGGCAACCCACTCCAGTAGCTTTCCCATGAAAACCCCACGGACAGTACCAAAAGGCAAAGAGATATGACGCCGGAAGATGAGCCCCTCAGGTTGGAAGGTGTCCAATATGCTACTGGGGAAGAGTGGAGGGCTAGTACTAGTAGCGCCAGAAAGAATGAAGCGACTGGGTCAAAGCCGAAAGGACACTCAGTTGCTGATGTATCTGGTAGTGAAAGGCGAGTCCAATGCTGCAAAGATCTATACTCCATAGGAACCTGATTTATAAGATCCATGAATCAAGGCAAGCTGGGCGTGGTCAAACAAGAGATGACAAGACTGAACATCGACATCTTAGAAATCAGTGAACTAAAATGGACAGGAATGGGTGGATTTAATTCAGATGACCATCAGGTATACTACTGCGGGCAAGAACCCCTCAGAAGAAATGGACCCCTTCATAATCAATAAAAGAGCAGGAAAAGCAGTACTGGGATACAATCTCCAAAATGACAGCATGATCTCAGTTCGAATCCAAGGCAAACCATTCAACATCACAGTAGTCCAAGTCTATGCCCCAACCACTGGTGCTGAAGAGGCTGAAGTTGACCGGTTCTATGAAAGCCTACAACACCTTCTAGAGTTAACACCCAAAAATGATGTCCTTATCATCATGGGGGATTGGAATGCTAAAGTAGGAAACCAAAAGATAACTGGAATAACAGGCAAGTTTGGCCTAGGAGTACAAAATGAAGCAGGGCACAGGCTGGTAGAATTTTGTCAAGAGAATACACTGGTCATAGCAAACACTCTTTTCCAACAACCCAAGAGACGACTCTACACATGGACATCACCAGACGGTCAACACAGAAATCAGATTGACTATGTGCTCTGCAGCCAAAGATGGAGAAGCTCTATACAGTCAGTAAAAACAAGACCAGGAGCTGACTGTGGCTCAGATCATGAGCTTCTGGTTGCAAAATTTAGGCTTAAATTGAAGAAAGTAGGGAAAAGCACTAGGCCACTCAGGTATAACCTAAATCATATCCCTGATGAATATACAGTAGGGGTGACAAATAGATTTAAAGAATTACTCGTAGATCTGATAGACAGAATGCCTGAAGAACTTTGGATGGAGGTTCGCAACATTGTACAAGAGGTAGCAACTAAAACCATCCCAAAGAAAAAGAAATGCTAGAAAGCAAAATGGCTGTCTGAGGAAGCTCTACAAATAGCTGAGGAAAGAAGGGAAGCAAAAGGTAAGGGGGAAAAGGAAAGATACACCCAATTGAATGCAGAATTCCAGAGAATAGCTAGGAGAGATAAGAATGCCTTCTTAAATGAACAGTGCAAAAAAATAGAAGAAAACAATAGAATAGGGAGGATCAGAGATCTCTTCAAGAAAATTGGAGATATGAAGGGAACATTTCATGCAAAGATGGGCATGATAAAGGACCAAAATGGCAGGGACCTAACAGAGGCAGAAGAGATTAAGAAGAGGTGGCAAGATTACACGGAGGAACTATACAAGAAAGAGCTTAACATCCCAGATAACCACGATGGGGTGGTCACTGACCTCGAGTCAGACATCCAGGAATGTGAAGTCAAATGGGCTTTAGGAAGACTGAGCAACGGCAAAGCTAGTGGAGGCAACAATATCCCAGCTGAGCTATTCAAAATCTTAAAAGACGATGCAGTAAAAGTGCTACACTCAATATGCCAGCAAATTTGGAAAACTCAACAGTGGCCACAGGATAGGAAAAGGTCAGTTTACATTCCCATCCCAAAGAAGGGCAATGCCAAAGAATGTTCAAACTACCGCACCATTGCACTCATTTCACATGCTAGCAGAGTTATGCTCAAAATCCTACAAGCCAGGCTCCAGCAGTATGTGGACCGAGAACTACCAGAAGAACAGGCAGGGTTTCGAAGAGGGAGAGGAACTAGACATACACTGGATCATGGAGAAAGCTAGGGAGTTCCAGAAAAACATCTACTTCTGCTTCATTGACTATGCTAAAGCCTTTGATTGTGTGGATCACAACAAACTGTGGCAAGTTCTTAAAGACATGGGAGTACCTCACCATCTTATTTATCTCTTGAGAAACCTGTATGTGTGTCAAGAAGCAACAGTGAGAACTGGGCACGGAACCACTGATTGGTTCAAAATTGGGAAAGGAGTATGGCAAGGCTGTATACTGTCGCCCTGCCTATTTAACTTATACGCAGAGCACATCATGAGAAAGGTGGGCCTAGATGAATCACCAGTTGGAATTAAGATTGCTGGGAGAAATATCAACAACCTCAGATATGCAGAAGATACCACTCTCATGGCAGAAAGTGAAGAGGAACTAAAGAGCCTCTTGATGCAGGTGAAGGAGAATGCAAAAGTTGGCTTGAAACTCAACATTAAGAAAACTAAGATCATGGCATCCGATCCTCTCACTTCCTGGCAAATAGATGGGGAAGAAATGGAGGTAGTGACAGATTTTATTTTCCTGGGCTCCAAGATCACCACAGATGGGGACTACAGCCAAGAAATTAAAAGACACTTGCTCCTGGGGAGGAGAGCTATGGCAAATCTACACAGCATACTAAAAAGCAGAGGCACCACCCTGCCAACAAAAGTGCATATAGTCAAGGCTATGGTTTTCCCAGTTGCAATGTATGGCTGTGAAAGCTGGACCATAAGGAAGGCTGAGCGCCGAAGAATTGAAGCCTTTGAATTGTGGTGCTGGAGGAGACTCCTGTGAGTCCCTTGGACCGCAAGGCGATCAAACCGGTCAGTCCTAGAGGAGATCAACCCTGACTGCTCTTTAGAAGGCCAGATCCTGAAGATGAAACTCAAATACTTTGGCCACCTAATGAAAAGGAAGGACTCCCTGGAGAAGAGCCTAATGCTGGAAACAATAGATGGCAAAAGAAGAAGGGGATGGCAGAGAATGAGGTGGCTGGATGGAGTCACTGAAACAGTTGGTGTAAGCTTAAGTGGACTCCGGGGGATGGTGGAGGACAGGAAGGCCTGGAGGAATGGTGTCCATGGAGTCGTGATGGGTTGGACAAAACTTCACGACTAACAACAACAGCAGCAGCAATGGAGGCAAAAATATACCCTACCTCACAGTATACAATATCTGCTCCATAATCTAAAGCCAGAAGTCGCATTGGTAGAGTCCCAACCCTCACCATAGGAGCCAATATGGTCTTGTTTTTGAAAGAGAGCAGTGTTGTGTGCACTGTCATGGTGTCTTTTGGATTGTCTGAAACAAGAAAATGCAAAGACAAATGTTTTAGAAAACATCATTGCAACATTATTTACAAATATGTACAAGGGAAGCTATTATTGTGATAACTAAGATAATGGCCATATGCTAAACTGCAGCTTGCTTAGCATAGCTGTGATCTGGTGGTACATCTGTATGAACCTGCCACAGACAACTATGGCTAGCTTCTCACCAAAGCTGTAACATGCAGATCTGCTATCCTGGTTTAATTCTAGTTTGCTTTGGTGCTTTCCTGGGTGCAAAAGTTCAAACCAAAAATGCTGGACAATGATCCAGGTTGTAGCATTATGAAACAGGAAAAAACTTTCTTGCTCATTTTCTCCTTCCCAGGAAAATTATTATATACTTTATTCATGTATCCGCCCAGACACCTTCCTCCTAAACCAAATAACCCCAAGCTTTATGATATTTCCTCCCAGGCAAACAATCTTACTCATTCTGACTGCCACTTCCTTCCCTTTTCCCTGCTCCATAATGCCTTTTAAAAGTGGCAAACAGAACTGCGCACAATATTCCAGATTTATAACCCACTTCACAGCTATTAGGATAAAAAGGAGGACAAGAGAAATTGAATTGTACCATTTCAAGGAAAAGCATAATAATTAAATCATCTGTGTCCTACAGCTACCGGTCTCATTCTGCTACATCCTTCTCAACCATGCAGCTGCTTTTTGCTTGCTTGCCTGACCAGCAGAGTGGAAATAAGCAATGGCCCCTCGCACTCCTGCTTCACTCCACTTTCTTTCACTTGTCAGAGCAAGAAGCCTGTGACAATCTGGTTGCAAGGGCAAAGCAGAGCAGCAAGTCCAGGGCTCTTGTTAGCAGGCTCCAGCCCAAGAGCGTGGGCCACTGGCATTTGCCTCAGCAGCCCTATCCTTGTCGCTGCAGCTATTCACCTAACTGGCTAGAGCAAGTGATGAATTCCCCCGCGGCATGAAAGGACCCCCAGCCTTGGGACTTGGATACCAGAACCAAAGCTCAGTCCTGCCATGCAAAACCCCACTGCTACTACACCCAATACTTTCTTCAGTTCAGCAGCATAATTTGGGGCCGTGTGTGTGTGTGTGTGTGTGTGTGTGAAGGCTTCTTCCTCTCACCTATGCACTAACCAAAGGAGCTGAACCGAAATTGCAGCCTGAAAGGCCTTCGAGTCGCACCCCCACCTAAGCAGGCACCATCGGTGTCTAGGCAAGAGAAAAGTCACACGGAGAGGCAGTGCTGTGCAGTGGTTAAAGTGCAGGCCTGGGACTCGGGCGATCTGGGTTCGAGTCCCCGCTCAGCCGTGCAGACCATGGGAAACTTTGGACCAGTCACAGACTGTCAGCCCGGCCTACCTCGCAGGGTTGTTGGGAAGATAGGACTGAGATCAGTAACAGGAGACTGATGTAAGCCTCTCTGAGTTCATAAAAAAGAAAAAGAAACGAGGAGGGAAGTAAAAACAAACAAACAAACAAACCGAAAGTCCTACAACTCCCGGCATGCCCCAGCTAGCCATGATGGCTCGCGCAGGCCGGGGGCTGCAGGCCTCGGCGGGGCCCTCAGCCCAGAAGAGAGCCCAGGGCGGCGCGCAGGGCACCGAGGGAGGGCCGGGGCTCTCCCGGAGCACCCTCCCTCCCCTCTCCCTCGAAGGAGCCACGGCGCGGCCGGGCCTCACCTCGCTCCAGGCCGGCCCGATCCCTCCCGCCGCGCACCTCGTCCGACGTCCGCGCAGGCGCCCTCGATCCCCCACTCCCCTCCCCCTCCTAGGACGTCGCCCGGCTACGGCTGTGCAGTCAGAGATAGCAAAAGTGAAGAGAGACGCGGGGGCTCGAGCCTCCGAGTTCATGCCGGCTCCGCCAGCGCCCCCAAAGAGAGCGCAGCCCCGCCTGCCGCAAGGCGTTTCCACCCAGGCACGTGGTCTCGCGGATCGTCAGCGGGCAGGCGGGCTGGAAGGGAAAACCGCGGCTCCTACGGACTCGGAGCTCCCAGTTCACATGGATTTAATGCGGAGACAAGTGCTCGCCTTTGCACCAGCAGCCGCGGCTCTGCTTTTGCTCCCTCGGAACTTTGCGTTGCAGCCTGCCGCTCTGAATGGGCGTTGAAAATTGCAGCTCGCTTCAGCTCCAAGTATATGAAATTCCTGCCCCTTTGGTTGCACGTCGTATATCAATGCGTGCAGAAGATAGCCTAAAACAAACTTATGTCAAGATCTATTTCATGCTAAAGATACAACTCACAGCTACAGATGAGTGGAAAATCCAGATAGTTCTGAAGCAACTATGTTTTGAAATGCCCGTTGTCAGCCAAAAGTTAAAATACAGAAGAAACAGTAACAACAGTCATAGAGTTTTCTTATTGGTTTCTTACTTGTCACAACTATTTTCTTACAGCTACTTCTAGCTCTCTCCATATTTGCATACACACCAGGCTTTAATATTACATATATGTGTACTGAAGAGGTTTTCTCTTGGACTTTTCCACATTTTGTTGGTCACAACCTGAAATTAAAATGGATTTAATTGGCAGTGTTACCACTTGATGTACACAAGATACTCACTGTGAAGATGTAACTATTTTGGTGCAGCACAAAAATGAACAAAAACACATTGGTCCTTGTCAGTTGCACACTCACCCCCTTTGCTGTGACATGCCTAAATAAGGCCTGGTGCAACCGATCGGCCTCCACAAGTCACATACTGCGAGTGTTGTAGTTGAATGGAGTGCCCCAGCTTGCAACTCCAATGCCACCGGATCCGATTGAGTGTGACTGTTTCCAGAAGGTCCAGAGGTTGTTGGAGAGTAGATCTAAATAAACAGCATCATGAAGAGCAAGGTGCTATCAAACCTCCAGGAATAAAGTTGTGCAAAAGAACCAGTCAGGGTTGAGCGATTAAAAAATCCCAAGCCACAAACTTTCCTTAGAACACTGTTAAATCCATGAGTCCAAAATAGAAAGGATATAGCTCGAGTACAACTCTGCCTGAAGAAAGTCACCCACTAAAATTCAGTTATGAGGTAAGGAGTGTTTTAGTCAAAGAAACAATCAGGAGTTCAATGCAACCACTGGTGTTTTAATATAGCTGCCACTGGTGTTTTAATATAGCTGTGATTTGGGGCACCAGCATCTCCACCCTGAAATTAGTGGCAGCAAAAGGTGGTGTCTCTGCTCAAGATAACTTAGTCTTACTTGGGGTGGAGAAATATCAGTCTTACTCATTTATTTACCATAGTTATTTCATTTTTCAATGTTTCAAAGCAAAACACCTCTACATGGAAGCCAGCAGAGTACAAAAAAATCTATATGCAGTTGAGTAGTAAATATGACCCAGGAGTATTTGATCTTTGGTGTAATGTGAGGCATTGTCCGTATGGGGGACTTTTGGCTGGAATAACTAGTCTTAGTATTATGACTTGCAGTTTGAACAGTGGATTACATTGCCAAATGGCTGAGCAAAACTACTACATCCCAGCATATTCTGCTTTGCAAATTGTAGTATAGGCACTGCCACTACAAATTTTGAAATATTTTAAAATATAAAACTAAGAATAAAAAGTTGAACAAAATAAGATCTGCCTCTGAAATGGCATGATTGCCACAATATTTTGTTTTAGAGTAAACACATTATTAGTCCACCAAGGCTAAAAACCTGTGATTCACCATCTTTTTCTGTAGGCTGGAAGCAAAATGATGAAACTGCAGGCATTGGATTTGTTTATTTATTTATAACTTTTATATACCATTTGCTACAAAGGTCTCGGGACCGTCTTACATTAAAACAAAGTAGAACACAGCATCCAAGTTGATTTTCTATATGACAAAACCCCACATTAAAATCACACTCAACCCTTAAAATAATGGGAGTATAAAAAGGCTTTGGCCTGGCGCCAAAAGGAATTTAGTGTTGGCACCAGGTGAACCTCTTTGGGCACATCGTGAGAAGACACAACTCCCTGGAGAAGACAATCATGCTCAGTAAACTTGAAGGCAGAAGTAGAAGAGGAAGAGCAAATATGAGATAGATGGACTCCGTAAAAGAAGCCAGAGCCTTGAGTTTGTGCAAGCTGGGCAGGGCTGTCCTGGATGGGACCTTTTAGAGGGCTCTCATTCATCAGGTCGCTGCAGTAACAACCAATTTCTATGGGCAGCTCCAGAAATCCAGAATAGTCCACTGTATGAAGAGATGTTCTAATTTTCTCAGCATCAGGTAGATTTGGAATGCATTTTTCTCGCCTGCAAATCTACTGGTCAGAGATGGCTCACGGTCATCACTACACGACTTCTCTCTCCCCACTTCAAATCCACATTTACAGGCGAGAGCCAGGCTGGTGTGGTGGTGAAGAGTGCGGGACTGGGCCCCAGGCGACCTAGGCTCGAGTCCCCGCTCGGCCATGGGGCCAGTGGGTGACTTTAGGTCAGTCACAGCCTCTCAGCCCAGCCTGCCTCGCAGGGTTGTTGTTGCGGGGATAACTCGGAGAGAGACAACAGGAGAGTGATAGAAGCTGCCTTGCGTTCGTTGTAATAAAAAAGGCGGGCTACGAATCTAACAAATAAATAAGCAAATCTGTTGTGAGTCGAGGAACACAGAGCACCGGGGAAGTCGCCCCACGCGGGGGAGAGACGAGAGTCGCTGGTCCCTGTTGCAACGTCATCCTAACGCGACGCTGCGGAGTTCGCGGGGCTAGCAAAGGGAGACGGTTTTCACTCGGACTCGGCGTCTTAAGAGAAACCATCGGCAGTCGGAAGCAAGTCTTCCTCTGAGGCTACGGCGCCTTGTAGGCTACGCACCGCCGCCGGACGCTGGCGCCCCCGGCTCCGCGTGCACCGCTTGCCGCGCGCGGAGCGACGTGCCGCCGTCACTCGCCCGCGCCCGCGCACGCGTCCAGCGGCCGCGCGGGGAAGTGGCGTCACGACGGCGCGACCGGTGCTGCCCGCGCGCGGCCCGCTCCTCCTCCTGCCATGGCTCTGCGCGGCTGCGGGGCCGCCGCCCCAGGCCGCTTTGCCGCGTGCGCGCCGCCGGCCTGGCGCCGTTGGGGCCTGCGCTCGGGCTCCGGGGCGCCGCCCGAGGAGGAGAAGGAGGCGGCGGCGGCGGCGGCGGCGAACGTGGTGCGGATACCCCACGCGTGGCGGCTGTGGCTGGAACGGGCCGCCTCGCGAAGGGACACGCGTGCGGCGTCCCTCCCCCGCCCAGGGAAGCTGCTGCTGCGGAGCCGGCGGGAGGAGCTCAGTCAAGCTGCTCGGGACACGGTGGGGCGCTGGGAGAAGCCGCGCTTGGTCTCGGGCGGCTGGAAGCACCGCTTGTCCCGAGGGGATTATTTCCAGTTGGAGCGGACGCGGCAGGAGCCTCCTCAAGACCGGGAGGCGGACGCTGACTCTTCCCTCGCCTCCTTCACAGACCTAGGAATCGAACCCCGGCTGGTCTCTGTCTTGCAGGACGTTCTGGGCATCTCGCAGCCTTCTGCTGTGCAAAAGCGCACCATCCCGACCCTGCTGAGGGGGTCCAGCGCACTCTGCGCTGCAGAAACAGGCAGTGGCAAGACCTTGGCCTATCTGCTCCCTCTTGTACAGCGGCTCTTGCAACCCCAGTGCTTGCCTAGTCAGCAAATTGCCTCCCCCCGCTCCTTGGTGGTACTACCTTCCCGAGAACTTGCAGGACAGGTGCGGAGTGTCGCCTCTTACCTGTGCACTCCATTGGGCTTGCAGGTGAGGCAGGTTGGGGGTGGTCGGGGCATAGGCAACATCCGGCAGAAGATTCTTGAAGGCCCCGCTGATCTCTTGGTGGCCACACCAGGTGCACTTTGTAAGGCCTTTAGGCGTCATCTGTTGACCTTGGAAAGGCTGTGTTGCCTGGTGTTGGATGAAGTGGACACCTTACTGGATCCCACCTTTGTAGACCTCATAGAAGACTTGCTTCAGCAGGCTCCTCTTGTCTCCAGGCTCAGTGAAGCTGCTGACATTTGGGATTCCAAAGCCCAGCTAGTAGCCATGGGAGCCACCATCCCGAAGGGGCTGGGCACACTCTTGAGTAAGGTAGCTGACCTGGACGGCGTCAAAATACTGACCAGCCATAGCTTGCATCGTATTCAGCCTCATGTGGAACAAAAATTTATACGCCTGAAGGGCAGCGACAAGGTGGTGGAGATGCTGCAGTTGATTAAAGATCGAGCGCCTTCATCTGGAGCCATTCTGGTTTTCTGCAACAATGCCAGCACAGTGAACTGGCTTGGCTACATATTGGATGACCATAAGATTAAGCACCTGCGCCTGCAGGGACAGATGCAAGCAGCAGTGCGCGAGAGAATCTTTGACGACTTCCAGAAAGGCAGGTTTGACATCTTGCTATGCACTGATATAGCTTCCCGAGGACTGGATACCACCCACGTGGAGCTGGTGATCAACTATGACTTTCCACCAACTTTGCATGATTACCTCCATCGAGTGGGGCGAGTTGGCCGCATTGGCAGTAGGTTCCCTGGGACTGCGGTCAGCTTTGTCACCCACAGGTGGGATGTGGACCTTGTCCGGAAAATAGAAACAGCTGCTCGCAAAAGGGCTCCACTGCCAGGGCTGGAACCCATTGTGAAGGCAGGGGAAGGTGTTTCCAAAAAAGGCAGGGGGAGGCGTTTCCAAAGACACTGAGTTGGAATAATACTTGACCATGTTTCTGAAAAAAGCATTGTTTAAACTGTTGTATGCTTGATTTGAGCATCAAAGGAAAATGGCAGTGCAGACAAGCCCAGCCAAAGAATTTTACAATAAATTAAGCCTCAAACCTGAAAGGCACCTTATGTGGAATTGTCTCCTTTTCCCTTCCTCACAGAGGCGGATGCCTGCGTATGCTAAAAAGCAACCCTGTCCTCATCCATTCTGTGTAGCGGAGGGAAGTATGACACATTGTGTATCATCCCCTGCATGTTTTAGCCTAAAAAGGGCAGCTTGTGGAAGAACAAATGGCAGCCAAGACCTACTGCACCCTCTGCTCCTTTTAGTAACTAAGATAGCTGGGCAAGGAAAGATCTTTCAGCGGCTCCTGCTTATCCCTTTAGCCCTTTGCCATCTGTCCTTCATCACACAAGAGGGCTGAAGCACAAGATTTGCATTCAAAAGGTTGCACATTTGGCCCCTGTATCTCTTAGCAGACCTGGGAAATACCTCTGGAACTCTAAAGGTCTTTCTCCAGTCACCAGCAGTGCTGTGCTACACACGGTCTGTCTTGAGATCATGATTCTGTGCTTCCTGTCACTCTAGCACAGCTCCTTTTAGTGGAGGGGGAGTGGGGGGAGCAGTCTGTACCCCTTAAAGGATTGGCACTTTTGGGATAAAATTAAATCTGATTTCACACAGTTTTAAAATTAAAGACATACTTGTTTTTATAGTACTCTGCAGACAAAGTCAGAAGTCTCATTCTCTAGGAAAAGGTGTCAGGTGTTCTTGTATCACAGTAGTGGATATGGGGTAGGTGTGTATATTTATTTAGGGTGCAATCCTGTGTCTGGTTCAGCAGAAAAAAGGCCAGACCGGTTAGGGGATGCTGGGAGTTGAGGACTTTTTCTAAGTATGTGCAGGGTTAAGCTGCAGCATTTATATGGGCTGCCCAATAGCCTTGTTCTCTGGATGGCGGTGCAACATACAATATGATGACATTTAGCATGATGCACTTCATTGGAAACATCAAGCTGCTGAGGGATCCGTTTAACTGTTGAGTGCGTGGTCTAAGTAAATGTCATCCGCAGCAGGCTTGTGAACAGTTGTGCTCTCAGCACTTAATCGTTAGCTGCATGGCAAGTTGCCATTTCTTCCCGATATTTGTATCCTGTGTTTTTTCTGAGCTACTCGGTGGGGCAGTCTGCTCCATTGTCTCACTAGCTTCGAGTGGCTGGTGAGACTGCGAAACCAATGAACATCGTAGGGGCTTCCGGTAAGTCAGTCTAGTTCAGGGGTCGGCAGCCTTAAACACTCAAAAGAGCCAACCTGTTTCCCACAGAAAAGAAAACACCGGGAGCCGCAAACTCCTTTTGACATCTAAAATGAAGATAGCACTGCATATATTGTTTTTTTACCTTCATGCTATGTATAAAAAACTATAGTGTGTTGCATTTATGAAATCAATTAATGATTCTTTTATATAATCTCCATCTGTGAACGGCTTCCTGTGCCTGACTATTTCCTGAGCGGCCACAAAATTAGCATATGTAGTTGAATTTGCAGACTTAATCCACTTCTTGAAATGATTTTTGCTTAGATCAACCTTCCGCATCAGTTCCGAAATGGCTTTTTTTCTCTCATCTCCATCCAGATATTTTTCAGCAAAGGCTGTGTGTTTATTCTGGAAATGTCTTGCAACATTCAACTTTTTGTTTGCCAATTTCTCACCACATATTAAGCATACTGGTAATCCAGTCTCGTCAGCAGTGAAAGCAAATGAATCTGCCCACGTACCATTAAACATTCTGTCTTCTTCTGAAACTTTTCTTTTCTTGGATTTATCCATGGTTGGCCTACTGGGGGTTGAAAAGCTAAATAAATCGCGTGCCGGCGGGTGTCGCACATTGGCGATTGTGACGCATATTTTGAGCAACGGAGCCGCAGCAGAGGGATGAAAGAGTCACATTCGGCTCCAGAGCCACAGGTTGCTGATCCCTGGTCTAGTTCATTGTTAGTTTGTACTGTGGGAAACAAGATACTGGACCACGTGAACTCTGGTTCAGTCTGGTAGGTGAAGATTAATTTCAGCCCTTCCTAACCTGTACGGAATGAAAAAGTAGACTAGCTTCCATGCATTTAGGAAGCTGCCTTATGCCGGGCCAGATGCATGGCTCACCTCTAGTCCAGTATCTTCCACTCCAGTTGACCGTAGCTCCTTGGGGTCTCAGGCCAATGGGGTTTTCCCAGCTCTGCAACCTGGTGCCCTTTGAGCTGGGCTTACCTGTCTGAACCTGAGGCCACCTGTGGACAAAGCTTGGGCTCAGCCCCTGAGCCATGTCCCACACCCTGCCCCAGCATGCCAGTCTGGACCTTGGAGAAGGATGGGGCATAAAGCATCATCATCTCAGAAGAGGGCAGTCGTCCGTGTCCTCAGATGGGCATGCCACACCTAAGAAATCGGGTGCTGCTAAGAAATTGGGGTATGGGGCGTCTTCCTTGACAGAACATGCACTGAGGTGACATTGGCCAGGCTTACCTTTACCCAAGCCCATAAGCGGCAGCCTGTGGAGGGCAGCAAGGATGGCAACATGGGGCATGCCTTCCTTCGATGAGCATATCTGTGCCACCCCTGGCCCATTGCTTACCTGTCCTGGAGAAAGCTGATCCTTTTCACTGCCTGTCACTACAGAGAGAAGATTGGGTCTTCATGAGGTGTGGTGGTGCGCTACACACTGCGAGTGTCTGACTCTGTGAATGTTCACTCTGTCAGGATGCCCTTGAAAAGCAAAAAGGATCAAGGGGCCAAGGCAACATTTAGACAACCCTTGTTTTCCCTGATCACCACTTCGGTGTAAACCTGTGCGCATGAATGTCTGCCCCCTTATCGATTCCTCCAGAGATTCCTCTGGGATTCCTTTGGCGCCAGGGTCACCCCTTCCCACATTGCAGCTCATGCTGCTTCCAGGGTTCTGCCCCAGAGTTGGTTTTCAAGTTCTGGATAACAGGAATTCATAATGAAAAGGTTGTGCGAAGCACCTCACGATAGTGAGAAATTGTAGGTGGATGGAAGGATGTTGGAAAAGCAGGGACAGGGCAGCTGCTGCTGCGGTGGGAAGGCCCTTGGTTGATCTTCCCCTGCCTATCCCCTAAGTTTCTGTATGCCATGCTACTATTTTAAAAAATCCAATTTTGGAAAACCTGAAATTGTGAGCTGCTTCCTTACTTCAAGACAGAGGCCAAAGCCAAAGCTTTGGGGGAGCATTTTTAAAATTACTTTCACTACCCTATTCTTGAGCTGAGTTTCACTTCAGGTACCACTTTCCTCCTCAGAATGTGTTTTCTGTTCATGTTTATATTTCTCTGCTCTTTCCCATGCCTGCCTGATGGATTGGAAGCATCATTTTCTATAACACCTCATAGCTGAAACTCCCTGGGTGGTTTGTGTATTTATTGGTTTACTACAATCCATAAAACAAGATGATTTCTTAAAAGAAAAATGATCAGTGAATTATATTTCTTCCATATAAGCTGAACTCTTCTGAGCTGGGGGTGAGATCAGAAAGATTTGGATTTTCACACATCTTCACACCTTGTTTATTATGTTTCCTCGGATGGATGGGATAATTGCTTCTACACCTTGATTCCTGAGATTTCTAGATGCAGATATTTTAACATGAGCACCAAATATATTCTTGGTCTGTCCGTCCGTCCGTCCGTCCTTCCTTTGGTACACTTTCAGTCTAAATCTTGGCTGGCAGTAGGACTCCTTGCATTTAAGTTAAACCAAGTGAAATCCTGACCATTAGTAAGAGAGATGGTTTCACTTGGCCCGGCTATGGCAGTTGTTTCTCTTTGGTTACAGCCAGTAATGCATCAATTGATCATAGCTGAGTCACAGAATGTTTTAATGGCACATTTTCCGATTTACAAAGGAAGATGAAAGAAGACATTTCTTTCAGTCACAGATGCAATCAGTAAGAACCATTTCATGTTTACAACAGCAGTGCAATAAACTGACTATTTAGATCAAACACAGTCATTTTGGCTCAGAATAAAAGCATTTTTGGACAAGAACATTAAAGCAGCAATGCACTTTGCAGCCCATGCTTTTGAATAAAAGAAGCACCACTTCAAAGCAGCCAGTGCAAGCACCACAACAACTTAAATTCAGTGGCTCATTGTGGGCTCTTGTTAAAACATGGATTGTCATGTTACTGCACCCAGCTGTGCTAACAAGCCATGGCTTGTTAACCATGGACAACCCATGAAGAGAACCCATGGCTTGTTGCTGGGTTATGGATAGTGGTTATTTACCACGTGGGCTGTTCACCATGGTCTGTTTGTGTGCCTGGATTCAGACAACACAGTAGCCCATATTTCAGTGATTGCCCATACTCAACCTTTGAATGTGGATTCACCCGTGAATGCTGGAATCTGGTCAGTATGAAGCCCAGGCAAATGCAAAGAAAGGACAAGTGTGTGTGATGACATTTCTTTATTTCAGTGAATGTTACATTACATTCACTTTACCTTCAGTGAATGCTATTGACTACTTCTATTTGTTGCAAGTGGAACTTGCAAGGTAATGTTGCAGGATAGAGTGCTACTTTTCAAGATGCTCCATTTCTCTGTCCTACTCCCAATTTCCACACCATTCCCCACGCAGTAGCAGTCACCATTCTATTCTATGGGCATTGAATATACTTCGGTGCTCACGGGCTACCTGAGGGCAAGGATTCCCCCTTTTTTGTTGGCTCTGAGCACCTTGGGTCTTCCCTGAGCCTGCTGGCACTTCCTTCTTGGATGTGGATGGTGCTGTAAAGCATTTTTAGTCAGAATATCAAAAATATTCTTCCTTCTCTCTGCCTTTCCATTATCACAAAAAAACACCCCAGTGCCTTACTTACTGCCTGCTGGTCAGACTTGTTACCTTTTGGCCACACAATCACAGAACAAGCAGAATGGATTAAAGCAGTAGCAGAATTCTGCTTCCCGCAAATCAAATTTCATTATTAAAAAAAAAAAAGAAGTTTATGTTTCCAGCAGGAGAGCTGCTGCTGAAACACCGAAAGTTAGAGGGATGACATAGCCTTCCAGTGGGTGAGAATAAGGCTTTGTTGCTCTGCACAGCTCCTTCCCATGATTGAGTAAGCCAGGATAAAGTAATAAAATTTGCAGAATAAATCATACCAGACACAGGTTGCAGAATCCAGTTTATCTTGATGCAGCAATTTAAGAATTATTAGCACAAGTGACTCACAGCCCCAGCCACCTTGCACAATCAAGAGCACCTTTTGCAAGCAAATTTTCATGAATTTGCAGTGATGGTAGTGTGCTTTCCTGTTTTAACGCCTTAGGAGCAATTTCAAAAGACATCCTTGCACTGTTGGGTCCTCCTTCATCACCACCACTTGCCTTTATTCTGTGCCTCTGCATGATAGATCCATTTTATGCACAGACGTACCTTTCCATGAGTCATTAACCTTCATGCTTAGCAAGAAACGACAATGATAACTCAGTGTGCTGCAGCTAAGCTCAGATCCCCTTTGCGCAATGTCAGAAGCCTCTGAGAACACCATCCCTTGGAAGATGCAGCTGGACCAGACAGGCAAGATGGACCAAGTGAGGCTCATGTAACGGCCATTAACACAAGCAATCAGATAATCCAGATTAAGTCTGCTTCTCCTAGTTGCATCTGTTTCTGCACTGGATGTTAATCTACACGTTTGCATGCTCTTCTCTCTGTACCTTTCTCTAACTGTGCGGCCTAACCTGACATAGCTGGCTTCCAGATATGTTGGACCACAAGCTCCAGCATTTTTCACCACTGGCCAAGCTGGCTGGGGCAGATGGGAAATGAATTGCAAAACATCTAGAGGGCACCCAGGTTATAGAAGGCTTTGATTCGCACCTCCTAATTCACACCTTGGTGGTTGTGTGAGTAGTGGAAAAGTTCTCCATGCGGATCCTCGCCAGCTTCTCCACAGGGTCCTTCTGGAGGAGAAACTTGTATGTGAAGACTTGCCGACAGGCTTTGCGGAAATTCTCCGACAGAAAAGCGTAGATGATGGGGTTGATGCAAGAGTTCCCGTAGGCCAAGCAGTGGGAGATGATGCGGAAGGTGAAGGACGCGTTGTTCAGGGGGAACTGCCCGAACTCGACCCACATGACGATGATGTGGTGCGGTAGCCAGGAGATCAGGAACACGGCCACCACGAGCAACACGGTCTGTGCGGTCTGGGGCGTGGGGGTAGGAAAAGCAGACAGTAAAGACTATGCAAAATATGGCCTTGGTGTTATATGGGATTGCTGGCAAATTTCAACTAAAATAGAGACAGCCTCGTTTGATGCTCTGCGATGGCGGAATACTGTCCTGGAACTGTGGGCAAACAAGCAGAATCTACGCGGCTTCCGTTGCAGTCAGTGTAAATTGCTAACATTGTTACTTGTACTTAATGTGCTCGCAACACACAGTGGTACCTTGGCTCACGAACTTAATCCATTCCAGGACTCTGGTCGGGACCCAAATTGGTCATGAGCCAAGTTAAATTTCCCCATAAGGTTCAGTGTAAACAAGGTTAATCCGTTCTGTAACTATTTTTTTAATCAGAAAAATGTGAAGCAAAGTGACAAAGAACAATAAAGATCGCGGCCATCTCCCCCTCCCCACCCCGAGCACGGCCATCTCCTCGCCCCCCCAGCATGACCGTGATCAGGCCCCTCATCCCTACATGCACCTGTCATCTCACCCTGGGGCACTTGGGGGGGAGAGATGGGTGCAAACGCGGGCACACTGGTGGGGGGAGACGGGCGCGATCGTGCTGGGGGCAGAGATGGCTGAGATCACGGTTGCGCTCCTTCAGGAAAGACGAGTGCGATCTCTGCCATCTCCCCCCCGCCCCCAGCACAATTGCGGCCATCCCTCCACGCGGGGCGGGGGGGAGATGGCCACGATCGCGGTCGCCTCCCAATGCGGAGTTCGCGACCTGAGTGAAAATTTTTATGAAATTTTTGTTCGCAACCCAGTTTGGTCATGAACTGAGGCATCGTGAGCCGAGGGACCTCTGTACATCGTATAGCCTTTTCTACTATTTCTGCCCTCCCCATCCTGAGCTCATTCTGCAATATTTATATTGCAATAGCCATTTTTGTTCAAAAACAGTTGCCATTGTGATGTATATAATGGCTGATATAAATGTGATCCTGGTGAATCTATGAAGCAGGCTTCCCCAGCGACTGGCCTCTGGCTCCACAGCTCCCATGATCCCCAGCCAGGATGGCCAGGCCAGGAGTGCATGATAGAGACTCTAGTCCAACACATCTGAGGGGCTCTTGGGTGGGCAGCCTGGGCAAAGTTGCTCCTTCCAAGCAACACCCATTCAACCCTCTTTAAGTGAATTGACCACTCTGGGAACTAAACATTAAACATTAGGCATCGAGAAGGTTCTTTTATGGGTCACCTACCAGCCATTGGTAGTGGCCAAGTCTGCAACATTGTGCGTATGTATTTGTCATCCCTGGTGAAGACGTGTGCAGAGGATTTCGAAGTGTCACCCCGGCTTCTGGAATTCCTCAAGCAGTTGTTGAGATCACGATGCCCTGCTGAGGCCCCCTGCCACCAAGACGCCCCAGGGATGGGCGACAACCATCATATTCTCATAAAGCGCTCCAGAGCACTGGATATTGTGCCACTCTGGGGAACTGTGGGAATTTAAATGGTGGCATCTGACAGGGAACTGCCATGTTAAATCTCCAAATGACTCTGGAGCTGGGAGACACATGACCACCGGGAAATTAAAAACTGTGCTTCACAGCAGGGTCCATTCAAGCAGAATGGAGCTCATGGAAGGCACAGAGCTGGGAGCCGCCCTATAGCTAACCTTGGCAAAACTGTAGGGGAGGGAATGGGGCGGAGGGAGAAGGGGGTGCCAAACCAGTCTTCCTTTTCACCTGTCTTCAAGTCCTAACTGGCCGTCTCCCATTTTAAATTAGAGGAAACGTAAAGTCACAAACCCAGAAATGCGGAGGGCAAGAATAATATTCACATAGTAATAAATATGCAAAAAAGTATTTAACAGGAACTTTGTGTATAATAGATGCAGATCTGTGTTGGATAACTAATTCCAGCCTGGAGCACTATAAAGAAGCAATGGTGAAATATCAAAAACCGTCAGAACATGCTCACTAACCTTATCTGTGAACTTTTCATCACTTGAGCAACAGCTGGATCGGGAGCATGCAGAGTGCATGAAAATGCTTCGATTTACTGAAGTATTTTATGGAGGCCGTTTCTGTCTTATAAACCACTCTGGATATGCATGACTAGCACCCCACTAATTAGTGTCATTGTCAGGCAGAGAATGTCTGTTTTCTTGGTACATGCCAATAGTACGGAAATAAATTGCCTCGCATTCTCCCCTTTTGCTATGTTTCTGGAAACAACAACAGCTAATGTTCAGTAAGCATGTCTCTTGTCACTCCCCTGCCCTTTCTGAGAGAAAAGGGAGAGAGAAAGCCTTGCAGAAGTTGTCTCCCTTCTTTGACTTTTCCACATTTTGTTGTGTTATGACCTGGAATTTGAATGGATTTAATTGGCATTGTTACTACTTGATGTACACAACAGTGCAAAGGTACACAATATTTTTATTGTGGTACAACAGCTCAGTAAACAGATATGGGGAAGGCAAAGTCATGGGGGAAATGGATTGCTCTCAAAGCACTGTGTGCATTCACAAGGCTCCCAGTCATTAATTCTGCCTGCCTGCCTGCCTGCCTGCCTGCCCCTGTCCATCTACCTGGCAGGCTGGTATGCCATCCCACACCGTCATTGTTTGGGTTCAAAAGAGCACTTTTGCATTTTGGGACGAGGTTGTGGAGGTTCTCACGAGATGTCTGCCTTGGATGCGCCCAGTCATCAAATGACACAAAATTGGCTGATATGGCCCATCTCAAAGCATTCTGGTTTCCCCAGAAGGCAAGGGGGCATGACTTGTGGGGACGTCGCTTGCCTAAGAGCCTCAGTTCGAGGCAGGCACTGCGCTCCAAAGCACGACCCCGCTCTGCTGAGCCCAGATAAAAACGGTGCTTGAAGAAGCGCTTTGCTCTGCGGCAGGCCAGCTTCACAGGTGGTTTTTGAAAGAAATCAAATCTGCATCAGGAGGGTACGCAGCCTGGTAAATGCCCGCAGGCACCGTGATGGAGACCTCAGCTGAACCAAATGCAGGACACAAATATTAAAGAGGATAAAGGAAGACATGGGATTAGTCCTAAGTTCAGCATTTGGCCTCCTTGGGAAGCTGCTAGACTTCTGCTAATGCCTGTGACAAAGCACCTGTGCTCAAGAGCTACCTTGTTTCATTCCCACAATGCCCATGGCCGTTCAAAATGGCCGTTCCTGGCCTCGGTGGCCTGGTGCTGCCTGCTGGTGGGTCGCTTCCCAGCACTGCCCACCGGCCGAGAAGGGGCTCATGGGAGAGGGCACTTTGCCAATGTCCTCCTCCATGCTTGGAGCCAGCCTGTGTGTGGCCCAGGGAACCGGACGCAGCGCACCAGCCCGCCCCCGGCAGGTCACCGAGCCTCCGGCTCAGCTCCTGGTTGCTTTGGCGCTCGCCTGGTCCTCATGCAAGTCATGCGGCCTGGGCTGAGTAGCACAGTCTATAGCAGGGGTGCAAGACCACAGAATCACGGGGCTGGACGGGGCCATTTGGGTCATCATGCCTTACTCAGTGCAGGAATCCAGGTGGCTTCCAGTCTTTGCTCGCACAACGGCCTGCTAGGCATTCGGTTCCATTGTCTGACTTCTCCAGCAGGTGGAACATTCCTCCTGATGCCGAGCTAAAATCTGCCTCCTTGTCACTTGAGCCTGTTACTTCATGACCTGTAGTCTCAGATTACAGAGAACGGCCTGGGGCCTTACTCTGAGCAACACAGCAGGCCAGAAAAGGTAGAAAACTACCCTTGCGTGTCATGTCGTGTGAACCCACCCAGACTCTCATGTCGCCCCTCCATCTTCTCTTGGCAAAAGCGAACTTGCCCAGTCCTGCATTTCCTGATTATCTCTGTTGCCCGCACTGAACTCCTTTCATTCATCCGCAAGACCAGGGGCCAGTTGCACCCCTCTTGCCTCCCTTCTTACCCATCTCCACCCCCCAACTTGCTTCTTTTTACCCGAAGAAGAGTTGTGCAGGTCTTTTGAAAGCTCTAATAAAAGTGTTTCGTCCCAAGCAAGTAGCACGGCCGCTCACATTCTCTGGGTTCTAACTCTCTCCTCCCTGCCTTTTTTACCAGCACATTTTCTTACTAGCAGCTGGAACTGCAGTAGAATAGCCTTTTATTGGTACAGAAAACTGTGCGTTCAAAAGTATTGCTTCAGGCGTGGGGACCCTGCCTCATAACACGGTCCTTCGTCCACTGCCGTAGCTCCCGCAACAGCCATTTTGTGCTAGTGCTCATCACAGTGTCTCAGATTGCCCGATGTCCTCGCAGCTCCAAAAGCTTACCTCCCCACTGAATTACACTAATAGGGAATCAACATTGTTTTCTCTTTGCAGCTCACAATTACTGTCCCAGGTCTCAGTCTGAATTATCATCCAAACATCACAACTCTCCCATTGGTACTTCCAGTGCTAAAGTAGTGTTGGAAATAGATCCTCATTATGTTGCTCTTGGTTACCTCAGTGAAGCTGAGTGTCTTATCTCAGAGGCACTAACAATCTGGTGCAAAAAACATTGAGTCATTTCAGGCTGAATAGACACTCCGCGGTGCAGCACTGAGATTGGTTTCAGTCATGCTGGAGACTAATTGCGGAACTGCACACGGAGAAGAAAAAACGTGGGAGGGGGATGTTTGCCTGAAGAAACGGCATCTGCTGCCGAGGACCCATCAGGAGCTGCCAGCATCTGGAAGGTCAACAGTCTCGGGATGAAATTACATGCCGCAGTAGGCAAATACCGGACTCGGGTTTGCAGAAGTAAAGTGAATTTGGAGGCAGGTGGGGAATGGGCAGGGAAATGCTGGCTGATTCTCCAAATGACCTCCTTTCTCAGCCACCTATAAGATCATAATGTTGGTATTTTGGAGGTCCCCTACTCCAAACCCCTCCTCAGTGTGCGACCAACAATGCAGGATGCAACTCCAACATCCCTGCCAGGTGGCCACCTTGCCTTTGCTTGGCTAACTCTAGTGATGGAGAGCCTGCCATCTCCCAAAGCACAGGACGGGAGAAGCAGCAATTTCC